ATCTCAAGATATGGTCTCTGAACATATCACAGGCCGGGTACCGCAACTCTTGCCTCACCTCTTGGTGGGTGTCGGAATTTCCCGAACATTAATAACTTCCAATACCATATGGAGAAAATAATATTCCTGCTGATTTTGTATTAAAGAAACATCAAAATACGTTAGTTACTCATTGAAAGAAAACTGTATTCGTAGCGATTTCCTGCAGAAAACGAGGTGTATTTACCACGTCGCAGAAACCAATGTAATACCCATATCATTATTAAGTAAATATTTAACACGACAGTCTCAAGACTGGAACTAACAAATTACTCTTCACTAAATTATTAGTTATCAAGTGAGTAGAATAAACTAAAAAAAAAATCATTTTGCTCTGGCGGACCGCACTGGATGACTTTTTGCGTTTTAGTTGCGGGGGGGGGGGGGGGGGGGGCCTGAGTTCTTTGTTTTGCTACCTTGTGTGGAGCGGGGCCAGTGCTTTTCCACGCTAAGGGACTCCTGGGGCTCCCAAATCGGTCTGAATTTATTTAGTTTTCCGCTGATAAGCGACATTCCTTTCTCCATTAGGCTTTGCGATTAACCCTTCACGGGTACGCCGGGGCACAACCGATCCCACGATCGTCGTCGCCCTTACAACAACAACACAATTTGAAGGGGGAAGGGTTCTCCTCCTCTAGCGGTGAGACCTCCGGACACCGACCCGCCCCTCGCCCTTGTGCACCCAGCATTTAGTGACTGTAGACCGGAATGGAAAAATTATTGTCGGATCGCGTTCTGGGGGAAAACATATGGCGCAGTGTAAACAATTCCGTCGCATTACATAGACCAAATACAAACTATAAACATAAAAAGTGTCGTTATTAACAAAAGTGGAAGTGTTCAAGAGAAAATGAGACACTTTCCTGAAAGAAGTATTGCACCAACCGGATTGTAGTAGGTATGTGGTCCAGTTTAATTGTGGTCTGGTAAATTAATTAATTATAGTAATTAATTAATTTATGGTCCAGTACTTTCCTGAAAGAAGTACTGGACCAACCGGATTGTAGTAGGTATGTGGGCCTAAGCAACAGTCGAGTGGACCAAGTTATCACAAGTCAAGCCTGATCTTAAGCTGGGCTTGAGTAGAACAACTCCCAAAACCCCACTGCAACATAACCCCAGGCTATGAATTATCGAACACACATCAGCTTGGACAGCGGCAGTACACAGGGCACAAACAACACTACTGTCCTATGCCAGGGAGACGAAATTAGCGAGCACTTACCCGGGGACAATGAGCAGGCACCTCCCCCACTCCATGTGGTATCAACACTGACGAGTTTGGTGCAGCGAGACACCCTCCAGCGCTGACACACTACACTGAACTCTTCGGCCGTTGAGCCCTTGAGCAATACTCTCAACACAATAATCTTAGCCCACAACCAATACTTATGATCCAGTGATGCCAAGTCTATGTACACATATCTCTGCAACTTATACACCAAAACATTGGTGTATACAGTATATACATACTAACAAAACTTCGTTCTAATAATAACAAAAATATATTTGAAACAAAATGTTATACTAATTTTAAATTTGTATAATGCCTCTAGAACACTCTTGATAATTTAAAGCAGGCAATTATAAAACGAATAAGGAAAAGGTAAGGCATGGTAATTGTGAGAAAACACTAAGCCAGTATGACTATATATCACTTCAGTCCATCCTCCTAAAATGATAGTAATTATAGTAACTGTTTGGTGAAAAATACCTATAGTGATGGACCACCTCAAAGTTGATTTTTGTATTATTTAAATTGACCAAACGGGTATAGCACATGTGTGTGCTATACTTGACCTTGGAATGTTCAAGTTTGACTTTCACCTTTCTTCCGGACTCTAACGTTAAAAATACAAAATGTTAAATTTTTAGTGGTCCATCACTACATACTGCAGACCATCTTCTGCTCACAGCATCTACTGCATTTGGTCAAACGTAAAAAAAGGGATAGTTGGATCCAGATAATTTCACGTTTGGTGTTATTTAATTACTTCAAATGGCATCCTAAACAAATATAAATGTAATTAATGAATCTAAATTGTCCCAGCCATCCTAGGTCTAGTATTGTACATAACAGCCTAGGAATGTTTTAAATTTGGCTTTTGACTTAATTTTTCCGTACCCTCTACAGAATTCATTTTTCAAAACGCTAACATCGTTGACTGCAACAGTCCATTTTTCTACTTTCGCCCAAATAGTTGCCATGATTACTATCCTTTTAGGAGGATGGGTACTATTATGCAGCCTAATATTATACTCTTGTTTAGTTACTCCATCCAGGTGTGTGTTAGAAAACGAGAATACAGCAGGCACGACTAAACTTAACCCCAATGTACTTAAAAAATTTACTTGCTCTGCTAATAATTTTGTTTAATTAAATAAAGTATATTTAAAATATGTTAGAGAGGATCATTTGTAAGTACACAAATACTATAACTTATATAATGCCTATACGTAGTCTTTCGCATAAAATATAACCAGATAAATTATTTTTAAGTTTTATTTATTTATTTATTTATTTATTTATGCATATACAAGAATGTACATAAGGAATGTGAGGATACAATTATGGTAATTACAGTCTTGTAAAGCCACTAGCACGCGCAGCGTTTCGGGCAGAACGTAACACTATATAAAGAATAACACTATATACTGTATATGATAACACTATACAGTATAAAGAAATTAAAATATGATTCTAGTCATTACTATTTCCCTATGTAAATTCATAAAAATAAAAGAAACGTAGGCATTACAGAGATAGTTGTATTACTGAAACATAAATAATACACTATTTGGAATCAGGACTGCTAACACAATACTTCTTAAACACAATACTTTCTTAAACACAATACTTTCTTAAACACAATACTTTCTTAAACACAATACTTTCTTAAACACAAGAAAAATGTGAGGAAAGGAATCGCTGCATTGAACTAGAGGATGTTCGGAAGGTGGGGCTATGAGCCGATGCTCGATTGAGCCTTCAAGCACGTGTAGGTAAATACATCTAGTATACACAGGACTGTGCGTGTAATTTGTATCCTAAAGCTAAATGCATCATTAATGTGTCAACGACAATAAAACTAGATTAGTTTTATTGATATATAGAAAGAGCCACATTATGATTCTTGAGGTTATCTTGAGGTTATCTTGAGATGATTTCGGGGCTTTAGTGTCCCCGCGGCCCGGTCCTCGACCAGGCCTCCACCCCCAGGAAGCAGCCCGTGACAGCTGACTAACACCCAGGTACCTATTTTACTGCTAGGTAACAGGGGCATAGGGTGAAAGAAACTCTGCCCATTGTTTCTCGCTGGCGCCCGGGATCGAACCCGGGTCCACAGGATCACAAGTCCAGTGTGCTGTCCGCTCGGCCGACCGGCTTCCCCTTGCAAGAAAATGATGCATTTAACTTCTGGATACAAATTACACGCATAGTCCTGTGTATACTCACCAAGATGTATTTACCTACATGTGCTTGAAGGCGCAATCATACATATACATTCGTCTCCAGAGCCAAACCATATGTAACCTGAAGCCTAAACAATCTTTACTAAGCAAAACAGAACTTTAATGAATAGTTGTTATATTAAAGATAAGAACCCAACAAGAGCTTTCCGTTGAATCCTTCCCATTAAATTATCTCGCTTAAAAAGCAAGTAGTGTTTTTATGAAAACAAAACACGCGCTATTGGTTAACAGCACAGTCACCCCCCATCTTCTCCTACATTTTCTTTATTAACATATTTAGATATCTGGGAGATTGGTCGAGTTATTTAGGATGCGTAATTGAGTTAGGTGTAGTGCCAATAACTAAATAAAAAACTATAAACACACTGTTAATAAATTTGCTTGTAACTAGTTCATCAATGGTGCTTGCTTGCTTGCTTACTTGTTTAGCTAAATGAATATTGGGGGTTCAGTCCCTTTGCCCACTATGTACCTCTAACATTTTCCCTTTCCGCTCACAGGATGAGTATGGGGTCCACAACCACTCACAGGATGAGTATGGGGTCCACAACCACTCACAGGATGAGTATGGGGTCCACAACCACTCACAGGATGAGTATGGGGTCCACAACTTCTCACAGGATGATATATATATATATATATATATATATATATATATATATATATATATATATATTTATTTATTTTACGCCGTACACCACTGTACACATGGCCCAGCTGAGTCACTCTGGGCAAGAAACTTTCTCGACACTCAGTTTGGCCAAGACCAGAGCAGTCACCCTCTTAAACACGCCCGGGGCTCCTCCTGCTTCTTTTGGGCACGACCATTAGGCTTCTCCGTTTCCTTATTTACCGGTCACTAAACTCTTTATTTTTTTTTTTTACAACCTAACGGGTTTGTGTCCTATTGTTAACGCTCTTGAGCTTCTACGTATTGCTACTTAAGTCTACCGACTTTCCGTTTTTTTTTTATCTACTTACGTCTGCTGACTTCTGCGCCACACGTCTATTAAACGTCAATTAGTTCCAGCGCCGTTGTTATCTTTATGTTTTGTATTAGAGCTCTGTTGCTTAGCCGTCAAGGGCATACCGCGGGGCAGGTTTCTGCTCCCGATATTCTAATCACGTGAATAATGACGTCACGAACTAGGGATACACTTCTTCATACGGACGCCAGGAAGTAAGACAATAACATGAACTGCAGCGGAACATCAACGTCTGCACAGTCCAAGGGACGTTGGCACGTCCACATGAAACCACGTGGAGCTACACGCTGTGGTTAAATAATGTCACTGTACCTGTTCCAGGTACACGTCAACGAATAAGTAACTTGGTCTGCTGGCACTAAAATGACAAAATTCCCCCAAAAAAGTTACCTCGTGGTATAATGGAGTTAGCTTTTAACAGGCGATACAAGGCTTTCCGTTTGAAGTTAACAGGAAGGGAAAATAAATCATTAAATGGTAAAACAAAACAAAAAAACTTACCTTTCCACGTCAGTCGTTCCCTTTTCTTCCTGTCTGTAGTGAGAGACCTTTCTAACCACCGCTTCTTCTGGATTTGGCAGATACTCGCTACCGTGCACCTGCTCGTGTTCAAAAGGCTGATCGTGTTCGTAAATGTGTTCGTGTTGCTGTAAGTACTTGTGGTAGTCCTCGTTAGCGTATGTATTGAGGCGCCTCAGTGTATGTTGTTTGGGTCTGGGTGTGTTCCGCTGGGAATGACTACGGTGATGATGGGGACCCTTGGACTCCGAGAAGCCCTGTCGTGTGGGACTTAAAGGGTCGTGGCTGTGGTGGCTGCGATGGCTGTGCTTTGACAGTCCTGACACGCTGTGGTGATCAGAGTGCTCATGGTGGCTGTGTTTTGAGTGGGCGTGCCTGGAACTGCCATGGTGGTCAGAGTGGCTGTGGCGCGAGTGGCTTTGGCGATGGTCTAAGTAAGAGTCGTGTTTCTTGTGGTAGTATTCGTCTCGGTGACAATCGTTATACCTGCATTCCTCGTGACGTGGTTCGCTGAGCTGCCTGTGCAGCTTCTGTTGTACATTGCGGCGGCTGTTGCGGTATAAGTGATTATGGATGATGTAGCTTTTGTCGTAGTGGCGCTGATCGTCCCTGCACACGCTTGATGGCGCCTGGGGAGGCCTGCCGTGATGTCCGGAGCCCCGAGATCTCGTGTCCCAGATGGTACTGTTGCTCTTGGATAGGTCTGCCGCTCTGCTCAACGGGGAGGCTGTATAAGATTTACTTGACTTTACAGATTCACTGCGAGTAAGCTTCATGAAAGGATTATTAATCAATTTTCGGAAGATGCTTGGACTACTATCTTCACTGCCAAGAGAAAAGTTTGGCCTCAATGGTGGTGGTTTAATCTCTTTCTTGGATTCTTTAGAGGAAAAGGAAGTTTCTTCTTGCTTCTCTGTCCCTTCGGAATCTGAGGGGGTGTAATCAGGCCGACCTCTCGAAGTGCTGCGCTTTCTGAGAGTTGGAGTTGCGATGGCACTAGTTTGGTCACCGCTCAGATTATTCAAGACTTGGCTCAAATCTGTGTCATAACTGGCAGAGCGTAAAATGTCATTTTTGACAACAGTTAAACACTCAGTGCCAGAGCTTCTGATAGGTTCTGGAGACAGCTGCTGCTCCTCACTAGACGGTGTCACGTTCTCGTCTCGACTTACTGTGTCCTGTTCGTCAGACACATACGCCAGATTTTCTTGTCCTCCAGAATTATTCACAGAGTCTTTCTGTTCATTTGCAATGTTCTTATTCTGATATTTACATATCTCATCTTCTTCCACGTAAAAGAATACACTTTTTACTTTGCTAGACTTATCGCCCTGCTTATCGTCTCGGGTGAAGCCCCTCTCAACATTGACGAGCCCGTCACCTCTCCCGCCATCGTTTCGAATATTTACGACAGTCATGGCGACAGCGTCGCAAGAGTCAGACTGCACGTGATAGCCATTAGACTGAGCATCCTTCAATACTGTGTTGGGTGCTTGGGTTTGGTCACCGAGGTCCTCAGTGCTGACGCCGGGGTTCCCTCTGTGATAACCGCGACCCAGAGAGTCCCCCGCCATGTCCGGTGTCACACCCACAGCCACCTTCACAAACGACTCCCGCCGGTGTTGACCTTCTGAAAGAGAGCCGTCTCCTAGACAGCGCAGTACCGCAGGGTCTTCTAAAATTTCTGGGAGAAACTTCTCAGCACCATAGAAAGTCAAATACGCTTTCTTTCTCACTCTCTTCAGTGGGAAAGACGAGGTCGCGTCCTTCTCTGTATCAGAGTTATTTGTTCCCCTGGACTCGTATGGAGGCGAGGGTGATACGGTGGGGTCCTCCTGGAACCTCACCCCAGGACCTGACACTATCCGATACGGTGTAGAGTGTGAAGACTGAGTGACTGGGTCATATCCAGTCATATGTAAACTGGAAGGTTTCGTCAGCAGAGTGACGTCAGGCGGCGGGGTATCACACACCTGTCTCGGACAGGCAAAGAGAATACCATCACTGTTACTGCGATATAACGATGGCTGCAGCGCATCACCTGGAACTACCGCACACTTCTCCTGTGAGGCGCGCATATCAGGTTGCAAGTCTTCAGCGTAACTAGTGGGCGTCCTCGGCGTCCGCAGCGGTGAGGGGAGGTGGGTGTCGTGCCGGTGTTGCGTGGGAGACGGTGTGTACTGCTGGTGTGGCTCTGGAGGAGCACCACCGCGACACTCCGCGCAGGGTTGAGGTCTTACTGACCCCGTCGTCGCATCCCCCGCCTGGCGAAACTCCGCTGCAACGTTGCTAATCACTTCGGGTGTTGAGAAATCTCTGCAGCTTACGGCACCGGTGAGAAAACGTTTGGATACGTCACTTGCTCCCTCCGACACCGCAGGAATATTCTTCCTTCGCATATCTTCCTCATCTTCATTGTCTGACTCGATTCTCAGCGGCGGAAACGCCAGATAAGGCGGCGGCGAGCCCCGAGTCTGCAAGAGCAACTTCATATTGAAACCTGTAGAGTCATGCCCGGTGTCCTCCACAGACACGGCTCTTGCTGAGCAAGAGTTCGTGTCGCCTACACTCTCAGCGTGTTGTTCTGCCTGGCTAGTGTTGCCCAAGGAAGGTGTATGAGAGGTGGGTGTGTGTGGGGGTGTAGTGGGTGAGGTGCGAGTGATGCTGGCCGAGTTATCGCCGAAGCGGTTATGAAGACCACTCAGCTCCGGACTGGATGGCGTTGACTGGTCCTCCGCCATCCTGGCTAGTGCCACTCACCTGAAACAACATCGCCATATTAACTATGTACTCAATGGTTATACGTAAGTGGAAATAATTAACAAATTACTCGAACTTAAATATTTATTAGTAGTATAGTGTAATTATATATATGTATATATATATATATATATATATATATATATATATATATATATATATATATATATATATATATATATATATATATATATATATATATATATATATATATATATATATGTGTATATCACGAAAATAAACACGTGATTAAGAATGTGACAATGTCAGACCACGGAGGAAAAATGAAACAGGAAATTTCCTTAAGTACTTTCGTATATTAAATACATCTTCAGAAGCTTCACCTTCTGAAGATGTATTTAATATACGAAAGTACTTAAGGAAATTCCTGTTTCATTTTTCCTCCGTGGTCTGACATTGTCATATCACGTGTTTATTTCCGTGATATATATATATATATATATATATATATATATATATATATATATATATATATATATATATATATATATATATATATATGACACAGTGTCAGACCACGAAGGAAGGATTGAAACAGGAATTTTCTTGAGTATTTGCGTATCTAATAATACATCTGAAGGATCCTTTTGAAGATGTATTATTAAATACGAAAGTTCTTAAGCAAATTCCTGTCTTAATCCTTCCTTCGTGGTCTGACACTGTCACATTGTTCATCACGTGTTAATTTCTTCATGATATACACACATTTTATATATATATATATATATATATATATATATATATATATATATATATATATATATATATATATATATATATATATATATATATGGCAGCAGGTTTTAATTCAGACATGTTTCATTTAATATGATTGTATATTCTGTATCGATTATTTTCTTGTTTAGGGCTTCTATCCCTCTGACCAGTGCTCTTGCATTTTGGTTTAAATGGAAGAGATTTTCTCCAAATATCATCTTTGTTCGAGATAAACTAAAAGAAATAACTGTATTACACTTATTATAAATTTACACAACGTTTCGAACCTACATGGTTCATTCTCAAGTAAATAGGACAGTTGATTGATGAAGATTAAGTCACCTAAGAGGTGGCACGGACATGAATAGCCCGTAAATAGGACGGTCGTTGTTGTTGTTTTAGATTTAGCAACTCAGAAGGAAATGTCCATGTAGCACGGGCTATGGCGAGCCCGTAATAGGACAGTCGTTGTTGTTGTTGTTTTAGATTCAGCTACTTGGAACAAAAAGTTCCAAGTAGCACGGGCTATGGTGAGCCCGTTGTGGACTTTCCTGGCACAGGAGCGGGGCTGTGTCGATTATAGGACAGTCTGTTGTTGTTACAGATTCAGCTACTCGGAACAAGTTCCAAGTAGCACGGGCTATGGTGAGCCCGTAACTTACCTGGCACAGGAGCGGGGCAAGTAGCACGGGCTATGGTGAGCCCGTAACTTACCTGGCACAGGAGCGGGGCAAGTAGCACGGGCTATGGTGAGCCCGTAACTTACCTGGCACAGGTGCGGGGCAAGTAGCACGGGCTATGGTGAGCCCGTAACTTACCTGGCACAGGTGCGGGGCAAGTAGCACGGGCTATGGTGAGCTTGATAGGACAGTCCTGGCGTATTGGATTTATACCATTAGGGAGATCAGGTACATACAAATAGAAATAGGCGAAGAGTAAGGCGTAAAAGGATGAAGAATAGGGCGAAAAAAAAGAGAAGAAGCACATTCAGAGATTAATCGTTGCACATGTATACAATTATCTAACAATCAGTCTCCAGGCACCGCTGTGCTCTACACAACGCGGGATGAGCCAATCCTGTTCCTGTAAAACTTATCTAAACCCGAATGACATTTAAGTAATCTAAATCAAACTATTTGAAATAAACGCACACTTAAAACCTATATTGCTCCGGTCTATCATTTAAAAATGTAATTTCTGAAACAAAAAAGTGGGTGGGAAGCCTCATCCTGATCCTGTCATTGTTTCGTACAGATAAATTCAGCCTCCACCATCACACCCGTTCCAGATACATCTCTGGTGTTGGGCATCTTGTGGCATAATGGTTAACAAATTCGCTTCGCAAGCGAGAGGACCCAAGTTCGATTAGGGAATCGTGTTCTTGACAGAACACGGCGCCGGATGACCCGCCCGGATGCAGTACCAAACCCGCGGTACTAAACAGCATCATAGTGAAGATAAGGCCACATATTCAAGTGGTAACCACTTCGAGTCACCCTCACCACCTTCACCCCTCACAGGCACCACATTAACTCGCTCACCACCTAACACACACCGCAGGAATATGGGAAACATGAAGCGGAAATAGCTTGGAGACAAAGTGGGAGCCTCACAGGATGATGACTGCACGAAGTAACTGGCAAGGAGTGAGCGAAGTTCACTGGCTACTGCTGGAGGAGACACCTTGATCACGGCCTGCGCTGGGGCCCTCGGCGGCACACTGAGGGCCGCCACTCCACACCTGCAGGGGCCTCCCACGCCACCACAAGGGCACATAATCATCCCCATCCTGTCCAAGACCACCTACTGCCTCATATACACACACGCATCACATTACACTAGCTTCACAACACTTGAAACAACAAGAAAAAACGAATTAAACAACGATGACTGCAGCCATTAAGTTTGAATATTGATTGCAAGATGAGAAGTAATCAGTTGGCCTGCACTACACCCCAACACAGCGACCCTGGACTCCCCCTCTCCACCAACAAAACCACAAGGACCATACGTGCGTATCAAGAAACAAACCTCTGTCTGTCCACTTGGCAACGACAAAAAGTAAAATGGTGAAAATAAAATCCTGGTTGCGATGATCTATAAACAATACCGGGCTCTCACACCATTCCAGGAGCAGTGAAAGGTACCCAGCTTTCCAAACGGATTACACACTGAAAACCATCCAGGGGGAAATTACTGGGATAAATACCAGGGGACAAAGAGAAGAGGAAATAGTAAGGGGGAATGGAAGAGCAGGAGGAGTAGAATTCGAGGGATGGGAGACACAGAGATAGAGAGATGAGCAACGATTAAAAAATCAGAAGAGAAATAACACAGATGGAATCAAAATCGCTGCCAGACGATCTAGATGGGGGTTTTAAAGCCGGAGAAACACTGGTAGATGCAATCCTATGCTGACAAATGTAGGCTTCCGAGCCAATGTAATGATAAATGATGTACTATCAGAAATTCTAGCTAAATACCCAGAGTTTGGTGACTGTAGGAGGTGCAAGCACATGACTGCCAACTCCTCACAGCTGCCGCCCACTGAATGGGTGTGTAGAGCATGATTAGTAACCGTGTGACTGGCCCACCACACCATGTAAATGGCCCCGTATAGAAACTGTTGCGAGTCACTTCTTGAACCACTTGTGATATAAAAGGACTACTGATATACTCTAAACTGCGTAACCACATTCATAAGATTCCTGCGCCATTATGTGCATCTCTAACTTTTTCCCCATTACCGCCCCACAGTATGGGTACTGGGGGGGTGCACTACCGCCCACGGTATGGGTACTGGGGGGTGCACTACCGCCCACGTTATGGGTACTGGGGGTTCACTACCGCCCACGTTATGGGTACTGGGGGGGGTGCACTACCCCCCACGGTATGGGTACTGGGGGGTTCACTACCGCCCACGGGATGGGTACTGGGGGGGGGGGTCACTACCGCCCACGGTATGGGTACTGGGGTGGGGAGATGCACTACCGCCCACCAGATGGGTACTGGGGTAGGGGAGATGCACTACCGCCCACGGGATGGGTACTGGGGGGGGGGAGATGCTACCGCCCACGGGATGGGTACTGGGGGGGGAGATGCACTACCGCCCACGGTATGGGTACTGGGGGGGGAGACACTACCGCCCACGGGATGGGTACTGGGGGGTGGAGATGCACTACCGCCCACGGTACTGGGGTAGGGGAGATGCACTACCGCCCACCAGATGGGTACTGGGGTAGGGGAGATGCACTACCGCCCACGGGATGGGTACTGGGGGGTGCACTACCGCCCACGGGATGGGTACTGGGGGGTTCACTACCGCCCACCAGATGGGTACTGGGGTGCGAACTACCGCCCACGAGATAGGTATTAGGTCCATAACAAATGAACAAAATCAACCAAACCAAGTATCAGCTGGACAATGTTCAACTTACGATGTCTGAATGTGAAAAATATCTTGCGTGACCATAACTGGAGGATTTACTGGACGCAATTCCTTAACTGTAGCCTCTGTTTAACGCAACAGTAAAATGTGTACTTGGATGAAAAAACGATTCTTCGCGGCGGGGCATCGTATTCCAGGGACCTGCCCGAAACGCTACGCGTACTAGTGGCTGTACAAGAATGTAACAACTCTTGTATATATCTCAAAAAAAAAAACTAGCAGGGATCTCAAGCCAATACATCAATGCATTAATGTACGGAGTAAGGCGAACAGTTAACTGGGAGGTAGTTCTAGAAGCGTCACTTTTAGAACTAATAATATAGGATGTCCAATAAAACATCCTATATTATTCTTCAGCTTTATCCTCCTCTTCTTATACACCATTTATATCATGCTGTTCAATTTTGATCTCAGTACTAAAAAAAACAAAATTATATAAACTCACATGAAAGTGTACAGAAAAGGATGACGAGGTTAATCCCAGGAGTTAGATTAGGTTAATCCCAGGAGTTAGAATAGGTTAATCCCAGGAGTTAGATTAGGTTAATCCCAGGAGTTAGAATAGGTTAATCCCAGGAGTTAGATTAGGTTAATCCCAGGAGTTACATTAGGTTAATCCCAGGAGTTACATTAGGTTAATCCCAGGAGTTAGAATAGGTTAATCCCAGGAGTTAGATTAGGTTAATCCCAGGAGTTAGAATAGGTTAATCCCAGGAGTTAGATTAGGTTAATACCAGGAGTTAGATTAGGTTAATCCCAGGAGTTAGATTAGGTTAATCCCAGGAGTTAGATTAGGTTAATCCCAGGAGTTAGATTAGGTTAATCCCAGGAGTTACATTAGGTTAATCCCAGGAGTTAGAATAGGTTAATACCAGGAGTTAGATTAGGTTAATCCAAGGAGTTACATTAGGTTAATCCCAGGAGTTAGATTAGGTTAATCCCAGAGTTAGAATAAGTTAATACCAGGAGTTAGATTAGGTTAATCCCAGGAGTTAGAATAGGTTAATCCCAGGAGTTAGAATAGGTTAATCCCAGGAGTTAGAATAGGTTAATCCCAGGAGTTAGAATAGGTTAATCCCAGGAGTTAGAATAGGTTAATCCCAGGAGTTACATTAGGTTAATCCCAGGAGTTAGAATAGGTTAATCCCAGGAGTTACATTATGTTAATCCCAGGATTAATAAAAAAAAATATTAATTTTTTTATCAATTAAAGGGAGACGGGGGAAGGCGTAGAGAGAAGAGGAAGAAGAAAGAAGGAGAAGAAGAAAGAAGGAGAAGAAGAAAGAAGAGACTATAAGATGGATGGAATAATCTAAGTTACCCCCACGAACCACAAAGTTGAGGCTAGAGAAAATGGGACAACACAGAAACACGCCGACTGCAACCCGTCCTCGACTCAGCGGTCGACCCCCACAGATTCATAAATTTTTACATGCTGTTCATTCAAAATGGGAATTTTCTGATATATAAGTTAATATTATAATATATTAGCATATTGTGCATATAGGCACAGGTTAGGTTAGGTATTTAGGTTCTGTTGGCGATTATTTGTATTTTTAGTACGTAGTTGAAGCATTTCAACCCGTCCTTGACTCAAGTCCATTACATCCAACGGTCGACCCCACAGACGCATTCATAAATTTAAAATAACATGCTGTTTATTCAAAACGGAAATTTCCTCAAATATAAATTAATATGATAATATATTAGCATATTGCGCATATATAGGCATAGGTTAGGGGTAGGTTAGGTGTTTAGGTCTAGTTGGCGATTATTTGTATTTGTAGTACGTGGGTGAAGCATTTATAGCGTTGTGGTTCGAACAAAATTCGTCAATGAAGCACTTGTTCCGAAAGTGATACCTGGTTGATACCTGGTTGATGGGATTCTGGGAGTTCTTCTACTCCCCAAGCCCGGCCCGAGGCCAGACTTGACTAGTGTTCGAACGTCATCAGTTGTGAGTCGTGTGTAAACCGTTTTTCATTCATAAACAACGGGTTTGGCGGGTGCATGGAATCACTTTTGGGTCTTTGTTTGGAGGACGGGCTGCTGGCCCCAGGCAGGGCTCGGGAAGTACAAGTCCCGAAACTCCCTCCAGGTAAATTCTAGGAAAGACTGAAGTTATTCAGTAACAAAACAAAATATAAATACACAAAAATCAAGCAGAGTTGTAAAACAAAAAGATGAGTCTAGTGGACGCCGGCTGACACCGTAACCCTATACGTTATCTTGAGGTTATTTTGAGATGATTTCGGGGCTTAGCGTCCCCGCGGCCCGGTCCTCGACCAGGCCTCCTCTTTGTTACACACCCCCAGGAAGCAGCCCGTAGCAGTTGTCTAACTCCCAGGTACCTATTTACTGCTAGGTAATAGGGGTATCAGGGTGAAATAAACATTTTGCCCATTTGTCTCCGGCTCCACCGGGGACTGAACCCGGAACCTCAAGACTACGAATCCGAAGCGCTGTCCACCCAGCTGTCAGGCGCCCTAAGTTACAGTAACAGTTACGTAGCAATAGCAATAACATTGCAACATGAATAACGTAGCAACAGCAATTACGTAGCAATAGTAGCAACACTAATAACGTAGCAACATCACAGCAACAGCAATAACGTAGCAACAGTAGCAACAGCAATAACGTAGCAACAGCAATAACGTAGCAATAGTAGCAACAGCAATAACGTAGCAATAGTAGCAACAGCAATAACGTAGCAACAGTAGCAACAGCAATAACGTAGCAATAGTAGCAACAGCAATAACGTAGCAACAGTAGCAACAGCAATAACGTAGCAACAGTAGCAACAGCAATAACGTAGCAACAGCAATAACGTAGCAACAGTAGCAACAGCAATAACGTAGCAACAGTAGCAACAGCAATAACGTAGCAACAGCAATAACGTAGCAACAGCAATAACGTAGCAACAGCAATAACGTAGCAACAACAGTAACAAATCAGAACTGAGGAGTACAGCAATACATTAAGAACTAAACAATCTCCAGAGATGGTATGAGAAACGGCTACAGTACTAGAATTAAACGGGTACCGCCGGTATGGTACGGCGGTACCCAAGAGTCGAGGCCCAACCTTCACAAGTAAGAGACAAACCCCCACGCTCACACAAGCATGCACACAACTCACTCACTAACTCTCAAACAAATTAACATCTTCCGCTGGGACTGACCCCTCCACCCAGCACACACGCCCCACACCTGGCCTGGCTGGGCATCGCCAACACTAGCCTAGCATCACCTGCCTTCACCCCAGCTCC